GGGGCTTTGTTTTTTATTTGAGGAATCTTTCCCTACCTGAGGTTTAAAGACTGTACTGCTTTTCCACCTGCTAATGTCTTGCCTTTTACATTAAACCTGGAGTCTACTTGCTGATCTAATTGATGGAGGAGAGTCTGCTGTTGTCATTGAGGGCCTGTGGTAGGCAGAGCCTCTTTGCCAACTTCAATAGATGTGTAATATGAGAAGAAATAAATTTTTGATGGTGTGAGGTCACTGAATTGGGGGCTTATGTTTTACAGAGCAGAACCTGTTGTATCCTGACCGATAGGGGATCCCATTTCTCCTTTTTCCATAGTGCCGCAGCTCCAGCCGCTCAATGCCATCCTGGCCACGCTAAGCCACAGGGTCTGTGGTTTGGTCTATCCTGTATTATTCTAGTTTTATAAGTAGCCTTGATTTTCTTGTAGAGAAACATTCATCACTGTCCTTTGTTTTCATATTGCCCGAGGTAGCTTTTAAAATACCTTTGATTACAAACATAGGGTGAGTAGAGGGCCCTGGTATGCCCATTGCCCAGCTCCAGCAGCACCTCACAGGGCCCTGGAGGGCCCACGTCTGTGAGAATCCTGGCCAAGCTCCCTTTCTGGCACAATAGGAGCTCTGAGCTCCCTTAGTTTCTCTTTAGGCCATGGTGTCCTCTATAGAGGGGCCTCGGATCCCTGTTAAGGGCAGGGTGAGTGGTGGTGATGTCAGTGGCGGAGGAGCCCTGGCCTCCAAGGTGTTCTCAGAATCCTCTCCTGAACTCAGGAAACCCACAGCATAGGGCCAGGCCTATGGGGTGAGTGAACATGAACTTTTGTTTCTTCTCTCTTCCCATTGGTGGGCCCACTGAGTGGAAAGGTGTGTCTGAATTTCTCCCCTTTTTCCATTCAGTCCCTGTTTGTCTGTACAGTGCAGGGACCTGGGACTTTTAGATCATCTGTGGCCCTCTGGACAGTGGAAGTGAGCATGAGTGGCTGAGAACCCAGCAGGTGCACCTTGCTAGGGTGGTATCTTACATCCTGGGGACTGGGATGCATTGGGCTATGGACTTGGCCCCTTCATCATAGCTTGTGCATGTAGGGATCCTTGAATGATAAAAATCCCTGCCATGCTGCTGTGCTTGCCCATGGAGCCTGGCTTGTACCCTTATTTGCATGTCTAGGTGGCATGTGGTAGACGCACTGCTGGCATGAGTATGTGAGCGTGTATAGTGTCAGCAGTGCATACAAATATGAGTGTGCAAGAATCCAGGGGGTCACATATCTGGCCACACCATTCCCTGGGGGTGTGACAGGGGACTACCCTACCTGAGGTGGTTTCTGCCGTAGGAGAATTGCACATGCCAATCCCTATCAGAAGGTGTCCCTGCTGCCATGTTAGGGATCCCTCCAAGTTGGACTCGGTTGCCATAAACTTGCTGGGCATGTCCCCTATGCTGTACCCTACAAAGGATTCTCCCCCCAGTGGGGCAGGCGGTGTCCTTAGTGGACTGGGCTTCCTGACGGGTGGGCTACAGAGCTGGCTCTAATGCACAAGCGGGAACGTCAGGCTTCCTGTACAGCAGCAAGTTTTCCATGTGTTCCCTACACAGAAAGGCCAGTGGCTCATTGCTGGCTGGGTTCCCACCTCTGCCCGTAAGTGCCTGGGGCAGGCTGGCTAAAAATGCCCCATCAATGGAGCTTCCTTCCTGCCCTCTCTCAGGCTCCTTGAACCTGTTCCTGGGGCAGTGGACGTCCTCAGCTGCTGCTTGAGACATTCATGGACAAAGCTCACCAGCCTCTCACCCTGACTTTGCCTCTCAGTCCACAGTCTGATATGCAGCTTCAGCCCTGCTCAACACCCTACCACCGCAGGTTGCCTTTGCGTACTGAGGTCAGCCGGCCCACTGCCCCCCTCACATGCTCCAGCCAAGTGGCTTCCAGGCATCACCAGGGAAGAGAACCAGCCATGTTATTGTCTCTATGAGCATACTCCTACTGCCCCAGCTGGACTGGTGCTGTTAATGTGACAGTTGGCCACAAGGACGCAGTGCTAGTTGAGTGCCCAACAGGCACCGCTGCAAAGGAGGCCTTGGTGGGCTGGTGTGAGGACCATGATTGCCTCTGCTTGGGGACCAAGCCCCCTACACAAGCTGTGTCTCCAGCTATCAAGACAGTTCAGGAAGACAGGACTATAAGTTGTTCCGTGTCCCAAATCAGTAGGGCCTGTCTGGAATGAGCACGTGCACACCTGTGCTGTCTGGCTGGCTGCTGACTAGGAGTTCCTGAGGGATTGGGATCAGGCACTGCACCAAGGGAGAGGAGGTCAGTGCCAGCTGCTTGTTGGGGCCGTGAATCCCGTTGGAGTGGCAGCTGCTGCCTCAGCGAGCCAGACAGCACTGCTCTGTTGTACAGTAAGCGTCCCATTTCTTCTGCATGGAGGGAGAGGCTTGGACCTGGCTGGAGGGGATGATCATCCTTCCTGTAACACCTTCAGGGCTACAGTGCTATGGGCCTTGGCATGGAGATTGTGTCTATAGCTAGAACTCAAGTTCTGCATCTTGGCTTCCAGGTGATGCTCTGCCAACAGGGGTGCCCAGGCCAGGCTTGGATGTAGAATAGGGCCTGACTCCCCTCCTAGTGTTTTTACTGTAAACCCTTACTGAGTCAGTTGAGGGGCTCCCTGAGTCTCAGGCAGAGCTGTCTGTCAAGGCTGCAGCCTGCCTGCCTCTGGATGCAGATGTGCCTGAGGCAGTGTGGGGTATGCCTTTTCCTCTGGAGGAAGGGGCCATTAGGGAGTGCACCTTATCACGTCCACCCTTTTTCCACACACAGGTTGGCACGGGTGGGGCATGGCAGGTAGAGTGACTGTGATTGGTGTATGTCTTCACTGCCTTGGGGAAGATCCTTGGCTCCCACGTTGCCAGTGGGTTGCACAGCACCACCCTCCCTGCCTTCCCGGAATTCCTCTCCAGGATCTATATCTTTGAAGCTACTGCCTCCCTACCCGCCTGGGCACTTCCCAAAGCGGATACTGACAGAGGATTCAATGAATCGAAGGTCGCCAGTCGGGGTGCTGACAGACGCCCGGCCATGATACTATTTCTGATTTAATAACCGAATGGGAGGCTGGCCCTTTGTAATAATTAGGGCTAATTACTGAGGAGGTGTTGACAGACGGGCTGAGAGGAAACAAACTACCTTTATCCCGTGGCTTAGAGTCAGATTACCGGCCCTGTGCTATCTGCCCCTCAGAAAGTAGACGCTTCAATCACTCAGCGAGGCTTCAAAGGGGAAAGGGCCCTGACAATGCACGGGATTTGGAAAGGAGCTATGAAGTGCGCCTTTGACTCTGAATTGCCAAACGGAGCCCCATTCCAGAAATGGTTTCTTTGTGCAGTCTGAGTTACCATGGCCAGATCTGCTTCCCATGCTCAGGGGCAGGGAGGAACTGGGTGGGCACAGGCGTGGCTGTGGCTGTGGCTGTGGCTGGTACCAAGGCTGGTCCAGCCTGCTTTGGTCCTTCCTAAGCTGGGCTCATGCAGCAGAGATGTGGGTACCCCTCATGGCCATCTCTGGCAGCCTGTGGACCGGGGTAGAGAGGTGAGGTATGTTTTTCTTGGCCTGGAAGCATGTCCAGTTCTTTGTGGCTGTGCGTGCCAGGTAATAGGATAGGGATCTTGCTATCCCAGCAGGCTTGTCTCTTCCCTTGTTTTCATCTGGAGTGCAGCTTTTCTGCAGCCCACATGGGCAGGTCTGGCCTCTCTCTGGAAGGGTCTGTGTCTTTGGTGTTATTTATTGTAGGACCACCCTTGGAGGCCTCAGAGTCTCTCACCAGGCTGTTCCTACCCTATTTTGGGCTGAGGGCCAAGGCTATGGAAGCTATACTGACCCTCAGGGCAGAAAGCCCCAGTGTCTGAGATGGGGAGAACTCTTAGAAGGGTGTTGGAACTGGTTCCTGATGGGCTGTGTGCATGCCTACTGAAGTCCCTGGATCTTCCCGCACTTCACTGATGAGAAGGGGTGTGTTCAGACCTGGGTTTCGTGATTTGAAACAGCAGTGCTGGGCAGTGTGCCAGTGAGTGGGCCTGGATGCCTAAGTATAGTTTGTAGGCCTGCAAGGTAGGATATGCAGGGTGGCTGAGAGAACCAGGACACCAGCGGTGGTCTCAGTGCAGGATCAGTTCTGAGATTTCAGGCCTTTCTGCTGTCTGTTCTCATCAGAAAGGTGGGTGGGAACAACCATGAGGCCTCTGCTAAAAATAGTCCTATCTCGGGAGCACCTTTCTGGTTCCAGGTGTAGTCTGGGAAGTGCTGGGTAGCAGGAGGTGGGAGGAAGCCCATCTCACCTATATGCCTGCCCGGGCCCTTGTGGCCTTGGCTGTGTTCCCACTGGTTGGAAAGACCTGTAGGTCCTGAGTCGTCCTATCTCAGACTGATGGAGTGGGTCGGGCTGGAGAGAGCAGCCTGGTCTTCTTTCCCTGGCATGCTGCTCTGCTTGCATTGGAAGGTGTCTTCTGCAAATACTAGGGATGATAGAATTCATCCACTAACATCTTACCAGAGAGTGCCTGACTTGTTTTAGAAGTTACTGTTGATGATTTAACTCTGTATCAGGGCAGAAATAAGATGGTAAATTATTTTAAATGGAAGAAGCATTAACAATTGGTATTAAATTTGTTTATAGTTATCATAAGCAGAAATAGGAATTGCCTCATAAGCCAGAAACATCTAAGAACCGAGTTTTCATATTCTAGTAATAAACTAAATATAACTGTAGCACAAGAAAAAGAGTGCACAAATACTACACAATACATTTTATTTGAAATATAGCCTCCTGGAAAAGGACCATGAGTAGTGGCCCAGTGCTTGTGTGTAGAAACAAGTCTGAACCGTGCCTCGTACACATCTGAAGTTGGGCACAGCTGAGGCACCAGTACTGATACATTGCTGTTAAGTACAGCCCAGGCTGTATTCAAGTTTCCTGAGCTTTTAACTAATGTCTTTTTTCTGTTCCAGGATCATGCCCAGGATCCCACATTATATTTACTCATCTCCTTAGGCTCTTCTTGACTGTCACAGTCTTCTTAGACTTTCCTTATTGTTGATGACCTTGACAATTTTGAGGTACAGTGGTCTAGTATCTTGCAGAATGAACCCCACTTGGGATTTGTTGCTTATTTTTCTCATGACCAGATTTGTGTTTTGGGGAGGAAGACCACAAAGATAAAGCACCATTCTCATAGTTTCACATCATGTCGTTAATATATATTATCAATCTGTCTTACGGCTATTTGTGTTGATCTTGATCACCTGGCAGAGGCAGTATTTGTCAGGATTGTCCACTGTAAAGTTTCACTTTCCTTCTTTTCTGTACTGTACTTTTTGGAAGCAGGTCACTGTGCAGTCCACACTTAAAGGATGGGAATGCAGCTCTCTCCTTGAGAGTGGAATAGTTACATAAAGTAGAATTCTGCATGGGAGGTTTGTTTATTCTGTTCATTCATTGATTCATTGATTCATTGATTCCTTCACCTCAGTATGGACTCATGGATTTATTATTATTATTATTATTATAGGTACTGACAATCAATTTTAACTTATGTTTTTGCCAGTACTACCACAATCAAGATTTAGGAAACTTCATTTCTTTTAAATCCTCCTTGCTTTGGCACTGAGCTCCTCTCCCTCCTCTGATCCCTAGAAGCTACTGATCTGTCCTCCGTATCCACATTTTTACCTTTGCCAGAATGGCATGTAAATAGAATAGTACAAGATATAGCCTTTTTGCTTTAGTTTTAATGTTCTACTATGTTTAGTGCTGGGATCTGAACCCAGGGTCTTACATGCCAGGCAAGTATTCTACCACTGAGCTACATCCCCAGCCTAATATGCAGTCTTTTGCTAAACATAATTCTCTGGAGATTCATCCACATTGTTACATCTATTAATAGCTTGCTCCTTATTATTGCTAAGTGGTATTCCATTCAACCTAGGATGGTGATTTGTGTTACTTTCTGTTTTGGGTGATTATGGGTGGAATTACAATAAATATTTGTGTATAGGTTTTTGTTTGCAGGTTTGTTTTCATTTCTCTCTAAATATCTAGGGATGGAAATTCTGGATAATAAGATAGGTGCATAGTTAATTTTGTAAGAAAGATCCAAGCTTTTTTTCAGAGTGCATTCTCACCAGTGTATGAGAGTTCCAATTGCTTCACATTCTTTTGTTTTTGTTTTTTGGTACCAGGTACCGAACTCAGGACCTTGTGCTTGCCGGGCAGGCGCTTGTGCTGCTGAGCTAGATCCCTGGCCTGCTTCACATTTTTGTCAACACTTGGTTTTGTCACATTTTTTTTCCATCCTCATTTTAGCCATTCAAATAGAGACGTGTAGTAGTATTTTCATGGGTTTAGTTTGCATTTCCCTAGTGGCTAGCGTTGAATGTTGTTTTGCACTTATTTGCCATCTGTAGGTCTCCTTAGGTGGAATGTCTACTAAAATCGTGTGTGCAGTTTTAATTGGCTTGTTTAGTTGTGGAGTATTTTTGTTTTGTTTTGTTTGTTTTTTGTGTTTTTTTTTTTTTGTTTTTTGTTTTTTGGGGGGTTTTTTGAGACAGGGTCTTGTGATACAGTTCAGGCTGACCTTGAGCTCATTTTGTAGCCCAGGCTGGTCTTGAACTTGCTACGATCTTCCTGCCTCAGCCTCCCGAGTGGTAGGATTACAGGCATGGAGTATTTTTTTTAAATGAGGTGTAATTACATACAATAAACTTCACATATTTGTTTTTTGTTTGTTTATTTTTATACTGAGTTCACATATTAAAATGATAGTTTGAAAAATTTTGACATCTGTGACACCAGCCCCCGCTCAATAGCATGGCCATTGTCCCTGAAGTTTCTTCCTGCTCCTTTGTGCACTTCTCCCCCTCCGCCCTGCACTTCCTTTCTTGAGGTCCCTGAGAATCTACTTTTCCATCACTCTAAATCCATAAGCATTTCCTAGAATTTTATGTAAGTAGAATTGTAGTATTTATTCTTTTTCTGGTTTCTTTCACCCAGCATGATTATTTTCAGATGCATTCATATTGAAGTATGAAGTGGGTCAGATTTCTTACCTTTTTACAGTAGAATATGGGTATATTCCATTGTGTGGATATACCACTGTTCAGGTGTTAATGGACATTTGGGTAATTTCTATTTTTTTTTGTTTGTTTTGTTTTTTTGAGACAGGGTCTTGCTATGCAGTTTAAGGCTGGCCTTGAGCTCACTTTGTAGCTCAGGCTGATCTTGAACTCGCAGCGATCCTCCTACCTCAGCCTCCCTAGTGCTGGGATTACAGATTTGCGTCACCATGCCTGGCCTATGTGATTTACTCACTTTTCCTGTTAGCTTTTTTTTTTTTTGGTACCAGGGATTGAACTCAGGACCTTGCACTTGCCAGGCAGGCACATTTGTGCCCCTGAGCTATATCCCCAGCCCCTATAATTTCTAGTTTGGGTCTGTTTTTTGAAGAAATGACCAAAATTTATTTTAAAATGGTTGCAACATTTTGTAATCCAGACAACAGTGTATGAGTTTCATTTGTTTCACATAGTTTCCAAAAATTGGAATGATGAGGCTTTTTAATTTTAGCTATTCTGATAAGTATGCACTGGCATTCTAATGTAGTTTTTATGTGCATTTCCCTAATGACCAAAAATTTTTAATGGGTTTTATGTTCTTTTTTTTTTTTCAGTACTGGGAATTGAACTCAGGACCTTGCACTTGCCAGGTAGGTGTTTGTGCTGCTGAGCTATATCTCCGGCATGTTTTGGGTTCTTACTTCCCATTGTTAAATCTTTTTTGGTGAAATGTTTGTTCAAACCTTTTGCCCATTTTAATTTTGTTTTATTTTATGTTTATTACTGAATTTCAAAAAATCTTTAAATTCAGTGTACAAATTCTTTTTCCTTTTTGTGGTACTGGGGCTCAAACCCAGGGCTTTGTGCTTGCTAGCATGTAGTCTACCACTAAGCTGTATCCTCAGTATACAAATTCTTTCCCAGATAGGTGATTTGCAAATATTTTTTCCCTTTCTGAAAATTGTCCTTTTGTTTCCTTAACAGTAGCTTTCCACGAGCAAAATTTTCTAATTTTGTTGAAGTTGAGGTTGTTTTATTTTGTTGTATTGTGGATTGAGCCCATGTTTTTTACACTAAGTTATATCTCCAGCCCTATTTTTTGTTTTTAGACAGGGTCTCACTAAGTTGCCCAGGCTGGGCTCAAATTTGTAATCTTTCTACTTCAGGTTCCCAAGTTGTTGGATTATAAGCATGTGCCACCATATCCAGCCTGACTGAAAGGTTGTTTTTTGTTTTTTTTAAATCATGAATGGATGTTAAATTTTATCCAAAGCTTTTTTGGTATCTATCAATGCAATTTTTTTCTTCAGCATGTTAATATAATGGTTTATACATATTAGCTTTTGCATATTGAATCAGCTTTCCATTCCTGAGAAAATATAGTTGGTTCTTAGTATGTTGTTCTTATATATTGTTGGATTTTATTTTCCACCTTTAGAGGATTTTTGTATCTGCATTCATGAGTGCTGTTGGTTTGTAGTTTTCATGTACTACCTTTGTCTACTTTGGATGTTATGGTGGGGTAGTGCAGTACTAGCCTCGTTAGTTAAGGAGGTTCTTTTTCTGTTTCCTGTAAAAATTATATAGAATAAGTGTTATTTCTTCTTTATATGTTTGGTAGGATTTGCCAGTATAGTCATATGGGGTAGAGTGGTGTTTGTTTTCCTTTTGTAGGGATTTAAATTAAAAGTGCAGGCTGATGTTGTAGCTCGGTGGTAGAGTGTTTGCCTAGCATGTGTGTGGCCTTGGGTTCAAATCTCAGTACCACAAAACAAAATATCCTGAAACCCTTTAGTTAATATGGAACTGTTGAGGTCACCTTTCTTCTCACCTATTCTGTAGCTTTCGACTTGCATTTTAGCAAATTTACTGGTATTATTTATATTGAAATGTTCGTAATATTTATTGCTCCTTTAAATGTGTCTGGTGTCTGATAACCCTTCTTTAGTTACTGTAATTCATTTCTTCTTTCTTTTTATCATTATCACTTCTGCTAGAAATTTATCAGCTAATTAGTTATTAGTTTTGCTAATTTTTCTCTATTGTTATACTGTTCTCTGTTTCATTTATTTCTGCTCTGATCTAATTATTTCCTTCCTTCTGCTTGCTTTGGACTTACTTTGTGATCTTTTTTCTAGTATCTTAAGGATAAAGCCAGGTCATTGATTTGGAGGCCTTTCTTATTTTTTAATGTAAATATTTATTGCTACAAATTTCTCTCTAGGAGAGTGACATCAGCAAGATGGATGAATAAAGTAGCCTTTTTGCTCAGTGCCCCCCCCAAAAGGGAGCATAACAAAGAATAAATGATTATATTCCAATTAGAGTCACTGAGGATCTCTTCTAGAGAGTAGCAAGAAAATGCAAGACCCCTGTGGAACACCAAAACTGAGCATAGCACCAAAGAGAGGAGAGCAAGACACTCTTCCTTTCCCACAGAGATCAGCTTGAGGCCAGGATGATGATTTTTGGAAGAAAAAATAATCTGGAGACCTGCACTGGTCCCTACGGCTGCTGTAGAAGACTGTACGAGAGACTCCTACAGCTCTGTCTCTAGACACAGTTTGGATAGTTGCCTGATGTTCACGGGGTTCCCTGGCCACAGAGTACGAGGCCACGCTGCATACCCTGTACCTACCATGACCTAAGATGCTGTGGCTTATTGCCATCTTGAAAGTAAACCTACTGCTAGACTGTATCTTGCCCTGGGGACTAGGGCAGGTTTTCATTCTTGAGACTCTGCTATCATTCCACCATACTCGTACAAGTGTCTGCAGTACCACAACCCTGGCTACTGAAAACCTAGGGCTAGGAGAAAGATCAAGACCCTGTTTTCCAAGTCCATACGGTATCCTGTTGCCCAGGAAACAGCTGAACATGCACAGAAGGGGGGTTGAGACACAGCTGAGGACCTGATACACCTGCAAACAACTGTCTATGACTTGACAGCCAACCAGGTGGCAGCTCTACTCTGCCCCTTCTGAGCCAGCTGCACAGCAACCAGTCTACAATAGTAGTACAGATCTGAGCTCATGTTGACAGCCACAGTGACTTTACCCACCTAGTCTTTCTGTTGCATGGCTAGCCATCCCACAGAGCCCATGAATATGCAAACTCAGCCCAACAGCCAACCAGATGACAGCTGTACCTACTGGAGAGCCTGGTACTGGCCTGTGCTACGGTGGGCTTCTCCAACTGTCTACGTAGTTTGCCTGGCAGTAGGTGTATTCCTAGCAAGATCACACCATAGCACTGCACACAAGCACCCACAGCCTAGACAGCTGTCCTAGCCATAGACATCTCTGATAAGGATTATAGTTGAAGAAACTACACAGAAAACACACAGCTCTCCACCCCAAATCAAAGCTAGCACACCACAGAAACTGGCATTCTGGAACCCATCCACAGGAAAAAGTCTCTCCCTGCATGCTGAGGGTGTAGGGTGCTTTAGAAAATTGGAAAAGGCAACTCTTGCGTTAGATGCACAGATACCACATAGAGATACAGGAAACTTGCAAAAGATAATCTTTTTTTTTTTTTTTGGTTTTTCTCCGGTACCGGGAACCGAACTCACGACCTTGCGCTTGCCAGGCAGGCGCTTTTTGCCGCTGAGCTAAATCCCCAGCCCCCGCAAAAGATAATCTTAAGAAATTCAGTGATATATAAGAGGATATGGACAGTTTAAAGAATTTAAGAGTGTACTTTATGATTTAAATAAAATATTTGACAGAGATCGATATAAAAAAAAGACCAAACAGAAATCTTATAGCCTAAGAATTCAGTGAATGAAATAAATACAGTGAGAGCCACAACAGAGTAGATCAAACAGAAAAAAGAATTGCTGAAGGTGAAGGCATCTTTGGAATTAACCCAGTCAGAAGAGAAATAAAAGAATGAAGAAGTGAAAAAACCTATGATATCTATAGGGTACCATTAAGTGAACAAATGTTCTAATATAAGAGTTGCAGAGGGAAGAGAGATGGAGAAAGACACAGAAATCATATTTAACAAAATAGCTGAAAATTTCCAAAGTCTTGGAAGAGATATGGATATTCAGTCTGTGAATCTCAAAGATTTATTAGGTTGAACCCAAAGAGATATTCTCCAAGGCACATTGTAGTCAAACTGTCAAAAATTAAAGACAGTTCTAAAAGCAGCAAAAGGAAAAGACCAAATCACATATAAGGGAATCTCTGTTAGGATAATAGCAGATTTCTCAGCAGAAGCCTTGCAGACTAGGAGAGTATGATATACTGTATTTAGAGGGCTAAAAATAACAAAAACAAAACAACAACAAAAAAACCTACCAGCCAAGAATGCTGTACCCAGCTAGTCTCCTTCAGAAATAAACAAGAAATAAACATCTTTCTCAGATAAGCATTACTAAAGAAATGCATCACCACTAACCAGCTTTATAAGAAATGTTTAAGGGAGTCCTGTAGCTACAAGTGAAAAGACAATAACTACTATCATGATAACATGTAAAAGTGTAAAACTAACTGGTAGGGTAGATACACAAATGAGAAAAAGAAAGGGATCAAACTGCAAAGATTAACAATAAAGGAAGAAAGAAACAAATGACCCAGAAAATAACCAAATGAGTAGGTTCTTATATAGCAGTAATAAATTTGAATGTAAATGGATTTAATTCTTTCTCCCAAAAATACAGACTAGCTGAATGTAAAAACACAAGGCCCAGTTTTCTGCTGCCTACAAGGAACTCACTCCAGTGGCAAGGACACACCGGTTAAAAGGGAAGTGATGGAAAAAGATACCCCATGCAAACAGAAACCAGAGGTGAGCAGGACTCACTATATTCACCTAAAACAGACTTTTATATCAAAACTGAAAAAAAAAAAGATGATTGTATAATGATAAAAGGATCACTTCAGTAAGAGACTATAACATATATCTATATTTTTTTCAACATTGGACCATCCAAATATGTAAAGCATGTTATTTTTAGATCTAATGGGAAGGAGAGACTACAATAAAACAATAGGGCTTTAAATATCTGACTTTCATCAGTGGACAGATTATCCAGATAGAACATCAACAACGAAATGTTGGAGTTAAACTGTTATAGACCAAATGGACTTGATATATATTTACAGAACATTTCATTCATTTGCTACAGCGTACACATTCTTCTCACCAGCACAGAGAACATTCTCCAGATTATATCATCTATTAGGCTATGAACAGATCTCAGTATATTTTTCGTTTTTGTTTTTGTTTTTTCCAGTAGCAGGAATTGAACTCATGACCTTGCGCTTGCCAGGCAGGTGCTGTGCCACTGAGCTAAATCCCCAGCCCCCAGTATATTTTTTTAAAAATCTAAATCTATCATGTATTTTGACCACAATGGGATAGATAGAAATCAACAAGAACTGTGGAAATTGTACAAATAGCATGCAAATTAAACAATATCCTCCTGAATAACAGTGGGTCAATGAATAAATTAAAATGGAAATTTAAAAATATCTTGAAACAGCCAGGCACAGTGGCACACACCTATAATCCTAGCTACTCGGGTGGCTGAGGCAGGAAGATAGCAAGTCTGAGCCCAGCTTGTACAACTTTGTGAGACTCTCATTAAAGGGCTGGGGATGTAGCTCAGTGGCAGAGTGTGCCTCGGTTCAATCCTCAGCACCAAAAACAACACAAAACTTAAAACATGAAATTAAGAACAGAATTTCAAAACCTCTGGGATACAGCAATACTAAGAGATATGTTAATAGCAATAAATGTCTAAATCAAAAAGGTAGATTTAAAGTAAACCTAACAATGCAATCAAGCAACTAGAAAAGCAAGAACAAACCAAACCCAAAATTAGTGGAAGCATAGAAATCAAAGATCAGGGCAGAAATAATGAAATAGAGACAAAAATATACAAAAGATTAATAAAGCAAAAAGGTTTTGTTTGGGGTTTTTGCTTGTTTGTTTTTAAGAAACAGTGTCTGGAAACGTTTCGACAAAGGAAAAAAGAAGACCCAAATAAGTCAGAGACGAAAAAGGAGATATTATAGCTGATACCATAGAAACAAAGGATCGTTAGGGACTGTTATGAGCAATTGTATGACAACAAGTTTGAAAACCTGCCAGAAACAGATGGGTTCCTGAACTCGTATAACCTACCAAGAGTGCAACATGAAGAAGTAGGAAGCCCAAGAAGACAAATAACAAGCAGTGAACTTTAATCACTGAGAAAAAAACCTAACAAGGAAAAGCCTGAGATTGGACGGCTTCAGTGCTGAATTCTACAAAATTTGAAGAACTAACTGATTTGTTCTCAAACCATTTCAAAAGATTAAAAGGGAAGGGCTTTCTTCCAAACTCATTCTACAAGACTAGCATTGCCCTGATGCCAAAACTGGACAAGAGCAAAAATATAGAGAGAACAATACCCCTAATAAATATAGTTGTAAAAATTCTCAGCAAAATTCTAGCAAACAGGATACTATAATAGTACATCAGAAAGATTGTATACCATGATCAAATGGGATTTATCTCAAGGATGCAAGACTGGTTCAAAACATACAAATCAGTGACCATGAGCAGCTAAGGATATAGTTCAGTGCATGCCTGGCATCTGTGAAACCTGGCTCCAGTTCCCAATGCTGTTAAAAGAAAAAAATAATAATACATCAAATGAATAGGATGAGAGACCAGAAACCAGATAATCATCCTAACAGATGCAGAAACAGCATTTGGTAAAATTCAGTATTGCTTCATAATAAAAATTCGATAAATTCGGTATAAAAGGAACATACCTCAACACCTTTGGCACAGTTAAGGCCATATATGACAACAAACCAGTAACTAACATACTGCATGGCTAGAAGTGTTTATTCTAAGACCTTTAACAAGACAAGGATACCCATTTTCATCACTGACCTTTAACACAGTACTGGAAGTCCTCGCCAGAGCAGTTAAACAAGATAAAGAAATAAAGGGCATCAAACTGGAAAGGAGAAAACTATCCCTATTTGTGGATGACACGATCTTTTATATAGAAAAACCTAAAGACTACTAAGAAACTTAGAACTGATGAATGGATTCCGTATAGTTGCAGCATACAAGATCAACATACAAAAATCAGTATTGTTTCTATGCCAGTAATGAACTTGATGAAAAAGAAATCAAGAAAACAATCCCATTTATAATACCTACAAAAAACCCCCAGAACACCTAGGAATAAATTTAACCAAGGAAGTAGAAGAACTCTTCAGTGAAAACTACGAAATGTGGATGAAAGGTATTGAGGATCCTGCAAGATGAAAAGACATCGCATACTCATAGATCGGAAGACTTATCGTTGTTCAAAGTTTCTTACACAAAGCAATCTGTAGACTCAATGCAATTCCTATCAAGATGCATTGTTATTCTTAACAGAAATAGAAAAAAAACCCCTATAATTCCTGTGAAACTACAGGAGACCTTGAATAGTCAAGCATTACTGAACAAAAAGACCAAAGTTAGAGGCATCACAACATTATTATTTTTATAATATACTACAAAGTTGTAGAAACCAGTAGTGTGGTACTGGCTTAGAAACAGACAACCAGTAGAAGAAGAGATAATATTTACAAAGTATTCATTTGATCAGGGATTAATATCCAGAATATATAAGGTACTCAGTAGCAAGAAAAAGAATCTGATTTTACATAGGCAAATGATATGGATAGACATTTCACAAACAAACAGCATCTATAAAAATGTCCAAAAAGTATATTTATGACTAAAATCAGGGAAATGCAAATCAAAACCACAAGAGATACCGTTTCATTCCAGTTAGAATTGCTATTATTAAAGAAAAAATGCTGGTGAGGATGCAAAGAAAGGGACACTCTCATATCCTGTTGTTAGGAGTGTGAGTTAGTACAGCCACTGTGGGAAGCATTGTGCAGAGTTCTGAAAAAAACTAGACATACAGCTACCATATAACCCAACAGTTCCATTACTAGGTATATACCCAAATGAAATGAAACTAGTATGCTAAAGAGAATTAAGGCCAAGCATGGTGGTGCATGCCTGTAATCCCAGCACTCGGAGGCTGAGTCAGGAGGATCATTGTGAGTTTGAGACCAGCCTGGGCTACAAAGTGAGCTCAAAGCCAGCCCGAACTGCATAGCAAGACTCTGTCTCAAAAAGACAAAAAGAAAAAGAAAATTGGTACTCCTCTGTTTATTGCAGCACTGTTCACAGTAGCTACAATATGAAATCAAGTGTCCACTAAAGGAAGGATGGATAATGAAATGTGGCATATATCCTCAATGAAATAACCATAAAAGAATAAAATCCTGGCATTAGTAGCAAAATAGATGAACCTGAAGGACATTATGTTAAGTGAAATAAGCTCAGAAAGCTTATTTCTCATTCAAATGTGGAAGCTAAAAAAGTTGATCTCATAGGAGTGGAGGTCAGAATAGTGATTACCAGAGCTTGGGAAGGGTGAGAGGGAAGGAGGTGGAGAGATGGTAGTTAATGAGTACAGGAGTACAGCTGCGTAAGAGGACTGATTTCTAACATGCAGTAGACTGCAGGGTAACTGGTTGACAACAATGAATTCTATATTTCAAAGTAGCTTGTAGAGAAGACATTGAATGTCCTCAATGCAAAGAAATGATAAAAGTCTGAGGTGATGGATATGCTCTTTACCTTTACCTGATCATTCATTCACATATATGTGTAATCACTCTGTACCCTATACATATGTGCAATTGTGTTGATTAAAAATAAAAGTTACATAAGAAAATTCTCTCTTTTTTTGTGGTTCTGGTGATCAAACCCAGAGCCATGTGCATGCAAGGCAAGCACTTTACTACTGAGCTACATCCCCATCCAGAAAATTCCCAGTAAGAGCTGCTGTAGCTACCTCCTACAATTATTGATAGATTATATGCTCATTTTTATTCAGTTCAGGATGTTTTCTGATTTCCTCTTTGATTATTTAAAGGAGTGTTGTTTAATTTCCAAATATTTGGAAATTTTCCTGTATACTTCTGTTATTAATTTTTAGTTTAATTCATTATGTTCAGAAGACATACTTTGAATGCTTTGGTTCTTTCAAAAATTTTCAGCTTTATTTTATGACCCTGGACACGGTCTGTCTTGGAAATGTCCCATGTGCATTTGAGAAGAATGTGTGTTTTCTGTTGAATGGAGTGTTCTGTAAGTGCCCCCTGGGTCAAGTATGTAGATAGAACCGCCCAGGTCTTTATATGACTTTCTGGCCATTGTTCAATCAACTGTTAAGAAGTTAAAGTTTTTAACTATAATTGTTTGTCTATTTCTACTTTTAGTTCTGTTTTCCCTTTATGGCTTTTGAAGTTTTCTTGTTAGATAATATATATTCACAACTTTTATGTCGTCTTCATTGATTAATGCCTTTTTATCATTATATTTCCTTGCTCCTGATAATGTTCATTATTCTGAGGTCTACTTTGTCTGGTATTAATACATCTATTCCAATTCTTCTTCTTATTTATATAATATATATTTTTCCTTATACTTGGGTCTTATAATTAACATGCAGAAGGTATTCATGTTTATTATAATAATTGATATTATCCTATGTAGGCCTGTCATCTTGTTTTCTTTTTTTCTCCTTTTTTTTTTTCCATTACCCCATTCCTGCCTTCTTTTGAATTATTCAGATATCCGCAAACTAATTTTTCTATTGGCTCCTTGAGTATGTGTTATATATTTCTAATGGTCACTGTGGAGACTATAATGTACATAATTAACCATTCATGATCTTTCTAGAGTTAATATTTCTTATTTCAGGTAAAACATAGAAGTCTTACAGCCATATAGGTCCCCTTACTCTCCCGTCATTATCTTACAGATAGCATATTTGAAACTTTTTTTTTTTTCATATTTGAAACTTTTAACAGACAATTTTATAACTTTAGAAGTCATACACGATCACTTAAGAGGTAAAAATTCTCTTTTATATTTATCCACTGTTTCTTTTTCTTCCTTTTTGAAGTTCTGCATTTCTTTCTAATAGTTGAGCCTAACAAGTTCCTTTTTTTTTTCAAGTACCAGGAATCAAACTCAGGACCTTGCACTTGCCAGGCAGGCACTTGTGCTCCTGAGCTATATCCCCAGCCCCATGAATTTCATTTAGCATATCCTTCAGTGCACTTGTGCTGGCAAGAAATTCTCTTTGTTTTTATTCATCTGGGGATATGTTTATTTTGCCTTCATTTCCTAGTGGATAATTTGTTAAGGTCTTCCAGTATTTAAGTACAACAGATATTGTGAAAGGGAAAGAAACTGCTAGGGAAAGGAGAAAAAAAGAAGGAAGGAAAAAAAATTTATATATATATATTATATATAAACATACACACAATGTAGCTAAGATAATTGTACTACTAATTTCTGTTGGTTTGTTGAAATGAACAGTTAATGTTTAAATTTCTTTTGACCAATTTTACATGTTTATATCTGGTAATCTGAACAACTACTTTGAAGATATCAATATGCAGTATAACAACCATTGTTCATTTCCTATCATCTTGTTATGAAATTCTGTATTGTTTTTAATGTTTTTTCTTATTTTTTTATTCTCTTTAAATAAAGTATTTTAATGAAGACATTCCACTGTTGTTTTAATCCATTTTCTGTTAATGTAATAAAGCACTTGAGGCATGCTTGCTTTATTAGAAGGTGAAGTTTACTTAGCTCATAGTTTTGGGAGCTGAAAGACAGATGAGGTGGCCCCAGTGGTTTGGCCTTTGTTGAAGGACCAGTGATGCATAATGTGGATAGGCTGTGTGTGGGCAAGGAGTGATCACATTGCCAGACAGCCGCCACTAACTTGTAGCTGTACAACCAGGGCCTGTCTTCAAGGCAGTGGCTCAAGACACACACACAACTCAGGAAACTCGCCCTGTGTATGGTAGGTCACTTCTCCAAGCTTTTGCTGCCTCCCAAATCTGGCAGCTTTTGTTCACTATTCACCTTTCAGATAAAGATGGTCCCTAATTTATGATGATTCCATTTAAGGTTTCTTGAGTTGAATGATGCAAAAGCAGTATACATTCAGAAGCAGCTCTTCAAGTTTTGAATTTGGATCATCCCCCCAGGCGAGTGAGGTGTTGGGCAGCAGCAGCAGCTACAGCTCCCAGTCGGCCAAGGCCATCACGAGGGTGAACAGCTGCCACTCCGCAGTGCTGTGTTGGTAAGCTAGTATGCTTAGTGGTTTAGGGGTACTAACTACATTTTTTTGATTGCAATATTTTACAACTTATCAAGGGTTTATTGAACATAAATTCATATGTTTACTTTTAGTATTTTGTCCAAAAATTTTAGTTACACTCAGCCAGAGAGACAGAGACAAAGATACGCTGCAGTGAGCTGATTTCATCCTGCCTGGCCAGACCAGAAACCTCTCAGTATAGTTTTTTTGTTTTTGAAATGGGGTTTTATGTTGCCCATACTAATTTCAAACTCCTGGGCTAAAGCAATCATTTTGCCTTAGCCTCCCAAGCAGCTACAAGCATTTGTCACCATACTCAGACCCCCTCCCCATGTAGGTCCCTCTACACACCATACTGGGAATTAAACCTAAGACATTTGTACTGAGCTACATCCATCGCTTCCCTCCTTCCTTTTAAAAAAATTGAGATAGTGTAGCAATCACTTTTTCATGGCTAGGACAATACCCAACATCCACAACTTGAAGGAGGAGAGGTTTCTTTTGGCTCACGGTGAGTCTGGTTGTTTGGCTTCAGTGCAGAGGCAGTGTGATGGAAGGGTCTAGTGGAGGAAGCTGCTCACATCATGGCAGTCAGGAAGTAGATAAGGGAGAAGCAGGAAGGAGGTATTTCCTGCCATGTCACACCCCCAGTGACCAACCCGTCTGACCAGATCCCGTCTCCTAACAGCAAGTCATCTAGGTTGCCCCTGTGATTCAGTCACCTTCCAAAAGCTCCAGTTATGAGCTCATGAGCCTTTGGGAGACATTCTGCATATAAACCGTAATAGACAGGCTCTAGCAAAGTTGCCCAGGGTGAGTTTGAACTTGCTGTCTTCCTACCTCAATCTCCCAGAATTCTGGGATTACAGGGTTGTGCCTCCATGACCAGCTCCTGTGTAGTTTTAGGTTACATTTTGCCATGAGTGAAGTTGTGTTTGAGCTCCCTTCCGTATGTTTAAGAGCCATTTTTGTAGCTTTTGCTATATATTCATATCTTTTGCCCATTTTCTTTTTTTACTTTATGAATTCCCAGAGTGCTGTGATTATAGGCATGCACCACCACAGTGGGCTTCCTTTTTAAAAAATTTTTTTTCTGATTGACTAACATATTCTGAGTCAATAAGTAGATTTTGAGTATGAGTCCTTCAACAAATGTATGTAGTGTTTTTCTCCCTGTCTGTAGCTTCCTTTTTTATTTCTTAATGTCTTTTTTTTTCCGAGGTAGGGTCTCACTATGTAGTTCAGGCTCTTGAACTCCCTATGTAGCCCAAGGTGGCCTCAGATTCACAGTGATCCTGCCTCAGCCTCCTGAGTGCTGGGGTTACAGGTGTGTGCCACCATGCCCAACTGATAGAAGAAAATTTTGTATATGTTCCATGTGCCTTTGAGAAGAAGGAGTAGGCTCTGTCAGAGTGTTAGTTTCACATGGATTCATATATCTACCCTGTTATTTGAGCTGTTTATGTCATTCTCATTGTCCAATTGGTCTCATTGTACTGAGAGCAATGTGTTACATTCTCCAATCTCCTTGCATCTTCTGTAGTTTCTGCTTTATAAAGATAATATCTGTGCATTGGTATGCTATGTCTACATTGTAGATTGCAAAGAAGAACTTGAAAATGTCTGACTTTGTCAACTTTGTCTAATACTACTATTTAAACACTTTCCCACTGTTTTGGTTTTTCTTATACCTTTGTCCATCTCTAATTTTAGCCATTTGAAATCATTGTTATTCTTTTTCTTTTTTTCTTTTTCTTTTTTTAAGGGAGGGATGATGATGGGGGATTGAACCCAGGGCCTTTGCAGTTAAATATATCCTCAGCTCCTACCCGCTTTTAATTTTTAGACGAGATTTTCTTTTTTCTTTTTTTGGTACCAGGAATCAAACTTAGGACCTTGAGCTTGCCAGTCAGGCACTGTGCCATTGAGCTGTCTCCTTGGCCCTAGACGAGATCTTGTTAAGTTGCCCAGGTGGGCCTTGAACTTGTTATCCTCCTGCCTCAGCTTCCCAGAGTGCTGTGATTATAGGCATGCACCACCACAGTGGGCTTCCTTTTAAAAAAATTTTTTTTCTTATTGACTAACATATTCTGAGTCAATAAGTTGATTCTGAGTACGAGTCCTTGAACAAATGTATGTAGTATTTTTCTCCCTGTCTGTAGCTTCCTTCTTTATTTCTTTTTTTTTTCCTCTTTTTTTTTTTCCTTTTTTATTTCTTAATGTCTCTTGATTTGAATTATAGTTTTGAGCTTAATCCATGTAAGACTGCAGTTTATTCTTTCCAGTTCTGTGGAGTATTTTACTGTATGAAATTACCAAGCTTATTCCATTGTATAGTTGGCAACCCCTTGGGTTGTTTCTAGTTGTTAATATGCACAGTGGTGCTATAAGGATTCTTGTACAAGTCTTTCTATGCACATCTGAGAATTTCCTAGAGTATTTATCCAAGGGTAGGGTTGCCAGGTCATAAGGTGGATGAGATTCAGGACCAGGAAAATCAGAGTACTCTTTGTCATAAAAATAGCATTCAGGACCAGGAAAATCAAAATACTCTTTGTCATAAAAATAGCATTATCCTTAACAAGAAAAATAATAATTCCATATTCAGGACCAGGTTATTTTCTACGTTGACGTTTCTTTCCATAGGCTTCAATTCTCACTTCAGATCCTTTCTGTGTCCAGGTCCCTCCTTCCCTTCCTTCCTTCCTCACATTGCTATATTCCAGTGTCTGGACAGCAAATCTCAGAGAGGCTCTTTCCCTGCTGCTTACTACTCTACCATCTTCCCAGAAGTCTCAGGACTGGGTTGTTTTCTAAAGTGGTTTTTCAGTTTATGCTTCTTCCAGCATGGTAGAGGGGTTCCAGTTGTCCCATGTCTTTGTCAGCATTTGACAGACTGTAATATTTTGCTAATCTGCCAGGAGTGTATTTATATCATACTATGGTTTTGACCAGCATTTCCAAGATCATTAATTAGTTTAAACATCCTTCCATATGTTTATTGGACATTTATGTTGATTGTGAAATAGCTATTCAAGGTTTTGCTCATTTTTCTTTTTTGGCATTTGCTCTCCCCTCCTAGTTTTGGTGTTCGCTTTTTTTATTGCGCTGATGTGCGCATATATTCTGAATATGAGTCCAGTGTGAACTTGTCTACTTCCCCTTCCCCTAGCATGCTGTCATATTTTTTAACTTAGAGAACAGTTACAAATGTACTGTCATAAATACCTGGATGCCTTCATCCAAGTTCACCGGTTGTTAACATTTTACAGCACTTGCTTTTCTGTCTATGCACAGTCATCCCTCTACATTCATGACTTCCATGTCCGTAGATTCAGCCAGTGGTGCTTATTCTGAATTATACAGACCTTTTTTGGTCATTATTCCCTAAACAATGTAGTGTAACAATCATTTGCATTGTCTTAGGTGTTATAAGTAATCTAGAAATGGTTTAAAGTATACAGGAGTATATCCATAGGTTCTGTGCGAATACATTTTATATAAGGAACTTGGACATCCTTGGATCACGATATTTATGGAGGCCCTGGAACCAATGCTCCATAGATACCGTGGGATGACCACACATTTTTACACGGAGATTAGGAGAGACATTTTTCTGAATCATTTGAAAAATAGTTGCTGACATCATAACATTTCTCCCCTAAACCCTGTAGCAGGCATCTCCTAGGAATAAGGATACTCTTTGTCATAAAAATAGCATTATCCTTAACAAGAAAAATAATAATTCCATATGATCTGCAGGCGACATTCAGATTTTCCCAAATGTCCCAAAAGTGTGCTTATAGCTACCCTCCACCCTTGGTACTGAGGGTTGAACCTAGGGCCTTTTCGCATAGGTGCCTCTCCAGTCCCTTTTTATTTTTTTATTTTGAGATAGGGTCTCTCTATATTGCTCAGGCTGGACTTAATCTTGCAGTTCTCCTGCCTCAGCCTTCCAGAGAGTTCTGGGATTATAGGTGTGTAACACCATGCCCAGCTTTATTTTTAATTCAGGATCTAATTAAATGTCCAGGTTGTAAGGTTCACATGTTTCATTTGGTTGTGATGCCTACTGTGTGTGTGTGTGTGTGTGTGTGTGTGTGTGTGTTGCTGGGGAACAAACCCAGGGCCTTGTGCATGCAAGGCAAGAACTCTACACTGAGCCATATCCCCAGCCCTGTGATGCCTTTTTAAGTCTCTCTTAATATATGAGTCACCTACCTTTTGCTTCCTGGCTTTTGTTGTTTCTCTTGACCTTGACCTTTTCATGAGTCTAAGCCAGTTGTCTTGTCTGTTGTCCTATGTCTAGATGTGTCTGATTGTTTCCTCAAGGCTAGGTTCAGGTTTTCCTGTTGGCACAGAAGTACAAGGATGGCGCCATGACTTCTTATTGCATCACATCAGGAGATAAGTGTTGCCTGTTGTTTATCATTGGTGGTGCCAGCTTCTATCAGTTGGTGAAGGTGGTGACAGCCAGCTGTCTCCATTATAAAGGTACATTTTCCTTTTGTGATTAGTAAATAACCTGAAGAGCAATACTTTGGCACGATGCAAATCTATTTCCTAGCAACTCAGATTGAATTCCTTTCAAATCTGTGATTTTTAGTCTCTTGCTATCTACTTATACTTTCAGATCCTGTTTTTATTTCCTTAAAAATACAAAATACCCTTATTTTGTATTCCTGAGTTCTTTGCTTTGCAGACCTAGTTCTGTTTCCTTTTGTTTCTGATAGCTCTCACTCATGGTACTATGTTTCCTTGTTTGTTTTCATGATTTGTAACCATACAACTTTATCTGTGATTCTGTGGACTCCTGAGTGGAAGGTGGGTTCATTCTGAGAAGACAGACTGAAGTGTGGGGAGCTTCCAAGGTGGTGTGAATTGGGGCTCGCATCTCTTATAGGCTCCCGTATTTATTGGGATTCTTCTATGAGACTAGACACCTTGGGAAGGCTATAAGTTTTGTCTTTGTCACTGTCGAA